CTCGAGGACTCGTCAGTATCGCGACGCGACTCATCCGCGATGTTTACTATTCTATTTCTTTGAACTTTCGCGTGTAACATCGTAAAGGTCGCGCCACGTGATAGAATCGTACGAGACGAGTTTAATAAAAAGTAATTCTTAAAACGTGTCGACGATATTAAAGGATATTATTTTAATCGATTATTTAACATTGGTGGGTTTACTTCTTTTTTGTTCTATTTTTCTTTTTATCATTTTTTTTTTCTTTCTTTCTCTCGCACATATATCCCAGAAGACAATTTCCTTTTTTCCAATTTACTTTATACTTTAGCCGCGAGGACACCGGGGGACATCTCTTCGACATTTTTTTTTCTCCTCTCTTCGAGGGTAAAATATCTTGATCGATCATTTACGTGAGTATACAATTTTTATATTGTTTGTATTGTTATTATTATTATTATTATTATTTTTTTTTTTTTTTTTTGATTCATTCACTCGCTTAAAAATATCTTTAGTTTTATAATGTAAGAATTTGTTCGCGTAAGAAAATTAAATCTAGAATGGCGCGAAGCAAAGATATTTCAAAATATCTTTCTTCTTGTATATCCTTCGTGATATTACATCATATTAATATTCTCTTTGACGTTCCATAGAAGTTATATTAAGAATGTGTGTAATACTGTAAGTTAGATTATTACTGGAATAGTTTAACGTGAAGTTTGGATATATTTTCTATGTTAACGTTCGTTCGAGTTTATATCCTTTGTTATATTTCGTATTATAACGAACACAGTCTCTCTCTCTCCTCTCTCTGTCTCTCTCTCTCTTTCTCTCTCTCTCTCTTTTCGTTGTAATAAACTGTGGCTCCGGTAGGTGGTGCGTCCTACGAATATTTGAAAGTTTATACGAATTAATATTTGATAAGCATTTTGCGTTGTTGTCAGTTTGTGTTAATTACGACGTCGATGAGTATTTTATACCGTCTATGAGGTATCTCATATCTTTTTTCTTTTTTTTTGTCTCTTTGAAACTACATAAGAGGCAATTTTGTACGAGAAAAACGAATAAATTTATTATTAATAATATTAATAGTTGTACTCATGTATTAGTACATCGCTCGGTGTTTAGATTTTGAGTTTATGGTTAACCGTTATCGTTTCTTTTTTGCTTTTTTATTTAATTATGTAATACGACGATGAAATTCAAGAAAAAGATTAGTTCGCAAAAACATTATTAACGTATGAACCGTTCTTGTTTGAAACTATGTATTGTCACCGTTATACATACGTTATGTTAAATCAACATAACCTAGCCTTTATTAACAACGCGTCCCACTTATCTACGATCAAAAATCAATACGGAATGTACACCAATTAAACGATTCGCTCATTCATAAAACAGAAGAGAAAATAACGCATATCATGTCCAGGTACATATATAATGTTTTTTGCTTATATAGTATTTATCTTTTTATTATTATCATTATTATTTATTTTATTTGTTTTTTATTGATTTATTTATTTATTAATTATTTAATTTATTTACATTATGTTATATTTTTGTCTTTTTTTTTTCCTTCTTGAAACTGTTCAAATGTTTAGTATAATTAACACAATGCATTATTTAATTAAGGAAATATCTGACATATAGGAGAGATAGAGTTGATTTCCATTTGATACTTCTAAATAATATACAAACTTATCTAAAAAGTTTTAAATTGAAGTCTGAGAATCCCTCGACTGAGTAAATCAACTTTTCTCTGTTTTTACTATGTTGTAGTATCTATCTAATGCAACTTGAAAGGTGAAACTTAGTGATAAGATCGTATCATCAGATATTCTCAAAGATCATTAATACATTTTATGAACTTTAACATATAAATAAACTTAATCATATCGTCTGTACATATATGTATACATATATACATATATATATACATATTTCTTTTTTATACATGTACAAATGTATTTTAGTGAATGTCTTATCAATAGATAAGAGAAAAATTGATTGACATTGATTATATTTTATTTAATATTTCGTATATACTTTGTTGTAAATAATTACAGATATATATTTTATATAAGTTACATATCTATCAAATGTAAAATGTATTTTTCACAATGTCTTACGTTCAATGAAGTTAGAAAATTTGCTGATACAGAAAAATGAGCGAAAAAGAGAGAAAGAGAGAGAGAGAGAGAGATGGAGAGAGAGAGAGAGAGAGAGAGAGAGAGAGAGAGAGAGAGAGAGAGATGGAGAGATGGAGAGAGAGAGAGAGAGACATTTTAAAGTTCCTGATGACGACGTTTTGAAGAGACACAATATTATAACTCACACGTTGCCATTAAGTCCTTTTTATTTTCTATTTTCATTCTTTTTCTCTTTCTATTTTTCTTTTTCTTGAAGAAAGAAGACAGAACCCTCTGTACTGTAAACTTTACGTTTAGCCGAGTTGACAAACTTGCCGAAGTTGTACTTTTGCCACTACGTTCGTGCCGGAAATACGGTATTTCGTGTTCTCGATTCTCTAATATACGTTTGAACTTTGACTCCTTCTCTTCGAAACCCGTCAAACTTTCTCGCTTTAAAATAATTCTTTTTATAGTTCATATATATATATATATATATGCAGATACTTTCGAAAAATAAATTTTTATTTTATTAGTATCACAATAAATTTGTAATCATTTTCATTTCGTTAAAATCTTATTTAATTTTGATAATTAAATATCTTCATCGTTAATAGGATTAATCTCTATATATTGTATATACATATATGATGTACACATATATCGTGTAGATGTCTGAACTGAATTAGTTAACGATCGAACGCAGCTACATACCATTTGTGTTCTCGATGATGTTCACAAGAGCGTTTATATATATATATACATTCATGCATATATATATATATATACATGACATTTGGTTGCTTAAATTGTTCGTAATTAAATAGTGCATCTCTATAGCACGAATCAAATGTTTCTATGCTTATAGTTTTACAATTTGAGGAAAAGGAGAATGAAGAGAAAAAAAAAATATATTATAATCTAAGATCTATCGAGAAAGAGAGTTATTGCGATTATCGTAATTATTTTTGATTATAGATCAATTTAAATGATTTTTAATAATCATTTAAGAACTTTTGATTTATTCTTTATAAGAATATTCCTATAACGACGTTCGTACATCTATCTATCGTATATCGTTATCATATACTCGTAATATCGATTAATTCGATTAAAAAATATTTTTACAAAGTATTTCAATGATTAGCAAAGCATATTAACTCAATTAATTATAAAGGGCAGCATAAAAGTTTTTATATTATTTTTTTGTTTTTCGTTTTAATTAGATAAGCATATAATACGACGATTAATGCGATGATTAATTGAAAGTTAATTGATTCACTTAAATTAACGTATTTTTACTGACGAATAAATGCTATGATTTAATCTTGATGATAATTTCTTTCTTTCTCTTTTCTTTTTCTTTTTTTTTTTTTTTTATTTTATACGCGATATGTTAATATTTATTTTTCATAGTATATTTCGTATCGAAGCGTTTTAATGTGGAATGTCTGACATCATATTGATCTGTACTACTACCTCTCGAAGCGTATTTCACCGAACGAAAAATGATAATTAGCTATTGAAATTTAAAGGTAATATTGCATATTTTTTAGTACACAAAATTATTGTAATTTTTAAATATTTTTTTATAATTATTCTCTCTCTTTTTATAATTATTATCTATACATATATATATATATATATATATATATATATATATATGTGTAGATAATTTTTATATCAATTTTTATCTGATTAAAATATACGAGTATGTTTAAAATACAAGTTTTATCATTTTTAAAGAGAATTGTAAAAAATATTTATATCTTTCGTATTTTCCTTTTAAGGTGTTCGCGTTTAAGAGAACGATTTTTTTTTTTTTAATTTACGCATCATTTATCGCGAATAGAGAAATATCAATGGAATAATTCGATTGGAAATTTCATTTAATTTTAGAAATTTCTTTAAAAAGAAAAAGAATATTCATGTTTGTGGCGAGAGAGGAAAAGAAATTGTAATTTGAAATGTTCATCGCGTAGCTTTAATATTTAACGTTTTTAAAGATTTTTAGATCTTTTTTCTGAGATTTTTGTCTCTCGTTTCTCTCTCTCTCTCTCTCTTTTCTTTTTCGTAATTTTAAATTCGTTATTTAAAAAGAGATAAACTTACAAAAAGAGGATAAAAGTCCGAATGATTATTATACATATTATATGTATGTTACGTCGCGAATAAAATTTTTTTTCTTTTATTTTCTTTTTCTTCTCTAGTTACTTTTTTTTTCTTTTTTTTTCTTTTTTTCCTTTTGAAAAATCTCTAGAGAAGTAGGTACACGCCAAGTCTTCGTTAGTAAAGGTATATATGCGATATCATAATTTATGTTTGTGTTTTATGGTCTGTCTATGTGTATCTCTCTCTCTGTGTGTGTGTGTGTTGTGTGCGCACGTATATACTAGAATATCGTGACAAGGAAATAAATTTGCGTTGGGTTATAAACGACCAGAGTTACTTCGTTTCCCAGTAGGAGATCCTGTATTATAATACGAGATTCGTACAAATTAGTATCGCTCGATTCCTCGTTGCGGAAATTTATTTTATTTCCGATACAAACGTTCGATATGCTATTAGAGAGAGAGAGAGAGAGAGAGAGAGAGAGAGAGAGGGAGGGAGAACGGTGCAAAATTTTAAAATTTTTTCTTTCACTCAACTTCAATCGATTTTTATATTTTTGATTACAAATTTATAACATTGAATCTATTTCTTGTTATTTATCCGGAAAGTAATTGATTTAAATAAATTTTGATAGATAAACACACAAATAAATTGTATTGGCAATACAAAGAAATAAATCAAAATTTTTATTTCGATAGAGACAAATAAATTATGATAAATAAACTATGACTTAATTCTTCATGCGAAAGAATTAAATATATATTATTATAATGAAAATAAATAAATCATGATATGGGTATATTAAATAAAATATATGTATCTGCATACGAATTATTTTAATGGAGATAAATTGTGATGTTGATATAACGTAATACAAATATATTGTGAGTTTTTACGTGGTTCAAAAGAAAAAAAAAAGAACGATTGCTTTTTCTTTCTTTGTTCCTTTTTTTTTTTTTTTTTTTAAGGACACCAGCCTATCCTTCTTTTTTTTTCTTTCTTTTTATTTTTCTTTGCAGATTGTACGAAACCTCAAGCCGAGAAATCTTTTCGTTTGCCATTGGAAAAGATAAAAATTAGTTTAAAAAAAAAAAATCAAGAAAAAGAAAAAAGAAAAAATAAGTCGCGTAAAAGTAGACCAATAGATTTTTAAAATTATTTAAAAACTTTCT